GGTTGTGTCCTCTGTAGCTTGTTATTTAACAAATTCAGCCACGCACAGATTTATCATCTATTCACTGAGATCACTGAATACTACAAGTCCCATCTGCTACTACAGCTTAGTGCGCCAGCAGCAGTAGGGCGCTGATATGACCGCAATTGTCATCCAGCTTTACTTCCTCCAGCACCATAACAGAATGTGCGTACCTCTGTACAGACCTGATGGGGGAGAACAGTGCAATGTGCCCGTGATGCATCGATCTCCGCTGCAAACCTCAATGAGTCAATTCCCATCTTTTTCGGTCAGTGTTGGGGCATTTACTACATTTCTGGAAGAAGTGACCTCAGTGATCTCACAGCACATAGCGCCCCCTAGTGATTAAATATTGAACTGATGGTCTGTATTTGTCATGAAGCCTTTTTCACACACAATTATTTTATTACAGGTATTTACACTGAGTGGCCGGATTATTATATACACTGAGTGGCCGGATTATTATATACACTGAGTGGCCGGATTATTATATACACTGAGTGGCCGGATTATTATATACACTGAGTGGCCGGATTATTATAAACACTGAGTGGCCGGATTATTATATACACTGAGTGGCCGGATTATTATATACACTGAGTGGCCGGATTATTATATACACTGAGTGGCCGGATTATTATATACACTGAGTGGCCGGATTATTATATACACTGAGTGGCCGGATTATTATGACCACCTGACGTTTGTAGGCAAATTAGCTATAATTTGGCGCTGAAGTTGCTAGAGGGCCAGACCATTATAAATAGGGAAGCAGGTTGGTTACCACGACAGTAGAAGTGATTTGTTTCTGAAGATTCGGGGAAACAACGCGATGTAACAGCCTTTGAACGTGGGATGATTGTTGGCGCTCGGAGCCATGGAGCGAGTATCAGCAAAACATCAGAATTCGTTAAATGTTCAAGAGCAGCTGTTGTTAAAGTGTTTAAAGACTGGACTGTCAGCCGAAAATCTGGGTCTGAACGTGCGAATTGTGGCCGTCAGCGACTAGTCAATGTTAGGGCAGAACGGGGGAGGGGCAAGACTGGTACAAGACAACAGAAGGGCAACAGCGCCGTGTCAGATTCCTCGCATCACCTTTCACCATCTCGTGGAGTCACCAGGCGGCCCAACCAAGTACTGATGGGGGGGGGGGTCATAATAATCTGGCCACT